AGCCCAGAAAACAAAAAAAGCAATCAGGCAGCCCTTCTGCCCCTTCTTTCAGATGAGAAAAGGGCCATAATTAGAGCTCTGCGAGGACAAGGAGGGCCATGAATATCTTTGTACCCTGAGCTGCACAAACCACTGCTTTTATTAGCATCATGCAGGAGCCATTACGAAAGCCAAATTAGCATCACGCAGGAGCCGTTACGAAAGCCAAATTAATTTGACTTTCTTCAGCTGAATCGACGTCTGCTCGGCTTAAACGCAAGATGCCAAAGTGTCATTTCGCTGTCTGTGCTGTCCCTTAATGATTTTTTGTCTCCATACTGTGGAGCAGAGCTGGAAACCTGCTGGTGCAAGAAAGCACCAGGTGGGTCTTTATTTCCATCTGGAAATCAAGCTGCTGAAGAGGAGCGTGGGAGAAGCCACCCTTTGGGGACAAGGGATGGCATCAGGTGCCCACCAGACTTCTTAAAACTAGAGAGGGACTTTCCGCAGCTGCCGGAGGGAGCGGGGAGCTGGGGGACCCGGGGGATCGGGACCCTCCCGAGCCGGCCGGAGCAGCCCAGGGGTGGCTCTGAGTTGCACCCCGCGGCAGCGAGGAGGCCAGCGTCTGCCTCTCCTTTCTGGGCTGTCTCCCTTAAAAAGGAAAACGCAAAGGGTCCAGGTGGTGGGGCATGGTTTGGATGGGAAACGATGGTGATGCAATGCAGCATTTTTGGGAAAATGGGCGGTTTTGGAGAGTACAGAAGAAAGGGGGGGAGCTTCCCTCCTGCTCGCTCCTTTCCTGGCTTGTTTGGAACATCTCCTCTGGAGCTGTGTGCTGTCAGCAAGGAGCGAGCCCTCATTTTTTGGCTTCTTCGGCTATTTTGGCTAAGCCCAAGTGCTTCGGCCGCGGCTCTGCCGGGGGCCACGAAAGCCCCACAGCCCCATTCATGGGGAACAGCAAACACGGGCAACTTTGGGGGACAGCCTGCAAAGGTGGGTGATGGGACGTGCTGCATGCGGCGCTGCGGCGGAGCCCCGGCATCCCTGCGGAGCGCCTCTGGGATTGCTGGTCCAGTCCTTCAGGAGCCTGGAAGGACAGCAGAGCCCCGGGAAGAAGGGGAGAGCCAGGCGGGAGGCAGCTGCCCTGCCGAGGCGGCTGCGTTTCCAGGCAGAGGCCGGGCAGCGAGCCCATCTCCCCGGGCACCAGGAGGGTGTGCGGCACGATAGCTATTAAACCGGGTTAAATGAATGAAGCAAGGAAGTGACGTAAGGGAAGATGGCATGGCTGGGCTCCCAAACCAGCTTTGCAGCAGTGCCAGGGCTTACCTCGGCATCCAATGTCGGAGATGATGGCAATTCCCCACGGCTCGAGTGCGGGGAAAAGAGGAGAAGCATCTGGCTTTACCGTAGCTGCCTTCTGCTTTTGCAGTGGTTTCGAATCTCTGCATCCCCACGCGTTAATGTGAAACCTTTCCAGCTCCTCTGGGTCCCTCGGCTCACCCTACGTCTCCCATTTCCCTGGATTCACCAGATCCCTTTTTGGTCACCGGGAATGTTCTACAGCATCCCCAGAGAGGAGAGCTTGCAGTTTAAATCAGGCGGTATTTTACCTTACAGCCTGGTGAGCAAGGGTAGCACCCCTTTCCAGGGAGGCTGCTGGGGTACCCTAAACATCATAGGCATAAAATCAAGAGGCTGCCACCCAACACCAAGACCCAGAACAAGTAATTCATGGCCCTATCACTACCGCAGCGGGGTTACCAGACCTGGGAAGCAGCAGGGCTGTAGCAGAGTTACCTCTCTGCAGCCACATTTTCAAGCTTTTTTTGCAATGTATAAATAATCACAATTTTTTTCATTCTGGCTTTTTGGTTCAGCATTGCAGGAGGTTCTGCACTCATCTGAGTTTTCCCCAAAACTGGCTGA